AAGGGGTCTCACTTTGTTCAGGCTGGTCTCAAACTCCTGATCTCAAGTGATCCTCCTTCTCAGCCTCTCAGAGTGCTTGGATTTTTTTTTTAAATGTTTTTTTTAAAGATAAATAAAATCAATAAACTGCTAATCAGACTACCCAAGGATAAAAAAGGGAGAAGTATGAAATAAACAAAATCAGATATGAAAAAGGAGACCTTACAACTAATACCATAGAAATGCAAAAGATGATCAGAGACTATTATGAACTATATACTAACAAACAGTAAAACCTAGAGGAAATAAAAGAATATGAAAAAATTCCTGGACATATACAACCTACCAACACTGAATCTAGAAGAAATAGAAAATCTGAAAAGGCCAGTAACAAATAATGAAATTGCATCAGTAATTAATACTCTTCCAGAAGAGATAAGCCCAGGACAAGATGGTTTCACTGCTGAATTCTACCAAAGTTCTAAAAAAGGACTTACATCATTTCCTCTCATATTGTTCAAAAAAAAATTAAATAACAGAGAATTCTTCTTAACTCATTCTGTAAGGCCAACATTACCCTAATATCAAAACCAGACAGGGATACAACAAAAAATTAAAACTAGAGGCCAATATCCTGATGAACATAGATGCAAGAATCCTCAACAAAATACCAGCAAACTAAATCCAATAGCAACTCAAAAAGACAACACATGATGATCGAGTGAGATTCATCCCAGGGATGCAAGGACAGTTTGATATATGTAAAGTAATAAACGTGACACATCACATCAACAGAATGAAGAGCAAAAACTATACAATTATCTTAATAGACACAGAAGAAGCATTTGATAAAATTCAATGTGTGATAAAATATCTCAATAAACTAGGCATAGAAGGAATATACTTCAACATAATAAAAGCCATATATGATGAACACACAGATAACATTACGCTGAATAAGAAAAAACTAAAAACCTTTCTTCTAAGAACTGGAACAAGACAAGGAGGCCCAAGTTCAGGACTCCTACTCTAGGTAGTACTGAAAGTCCTCACCTGAGCAGGCAGGCAAGAGAAAGAAATAAAAGGCATTCAAACTGGAATAGGGGAAATAAAATTGTCCCTCTCTGCAAACCCCATAATTATGATCTCATATCTGGAAAACCTAAAGACACCACCCAAAACTCTTAGATCTGATAAAAGAAAAAAATCTGTAAAGTTTCAGGATACAAAATCAACATGTAAAAATCAGTAGCCTTTCTATACACCAATAATGAACTAGCTGAGAAGGAAATCAAGAAGGCAATGAATTTATAAGCTGTTAAAAAATATCTTGAAATAAATTTAACCAAGGAAGTAAAAGACCTCTACAAGCAAAATGATAAAACATTGATAAACAAACTTAAGAACACACAATCAAATGGAATGACATTCCACATTTACGGATTAGAAGAATTAATATTGTTAAGATGATCATACTACCTACATCAATTGATAGTTAATTCAATTGCTGTCAAAAATACTAATGTCATTTTTCATAGAAGCAGAAAAAAATTCTATAATTCACATGGAAGTGTAAGAAGCTCTAAATAGTCAAAGCAATCCTGAGCTAAAAAAATAAAGTTGGAGACATTACACTACTTTGTTTCAAAATACTGTACATTACAAGGCTATATTGTATATTGGTATAAAAACAGAATGAAAGAATGAAATCCTGTCATTTGTGGCAACCTGAATGTTCTGACCAATGGAACAAAATAAAGACCTCAGGAACAAATTCATGTATTTATATCCAACTAATTTTTTACAAAGGTGCCAGGAAGATACATTGGAGGTAAGGACCCATTCTTCAATAAATGGCACTAGAAAAATTGGGTAGCCATGTATAGAAGAATGAAACTGGATCCTTATCTCTCACCTATAAAAATATCAACTCAGAATGGATTGAAGACTTAAACATAAGACCCCAAACTATAAAACTACTAGAAGAAAACATAGGAGAAACACTTCAGGACGTTGGTCTAAGCAAAGATTTTATTGCTAAGATCTCAAAAGCACAAAACCAAAATTAGAAAAATGGAACACTATTAAACTAAACATCTTGCGCACTCAAAGGAAACAATCAACAGAGGGAAAAAACAGCTGGGAGAAAATACTTGCAAACTATTCGTCTGACAGGGGACTAATATTCAGAATATTCAAGGTATTTAAATAACTGAACAGTAAAAACAACAACAAATTAATTTCATTAAACAGTGGCAAAGGACACAAATGAGCATTTCTGAAAAGAAGACATACAAATGGCCAACAGATATTTGAAGAAATGCTTAACATTCTAATCATCAGGAAAATGCAAATCAAAACCACAATGAGATATGCCATATCACCTTACTTCAGTTAGAACGGCTATTGTTAGCTCTGTGCCTGTGGCTCAGGTGGCTAAGGTGCCAGCCACATACACCTAAGGTGGCGGGTTCAAATCCAGCCCAGGCCTGCCAAACAACAATGATGACAGCTGCAACCAAAAAATAGCCAGGCGTTGTGGCGGGTGCCTGTGGTCTCAGCTACTTGGGAGGCAGAGGCAAGAGACTTGCTTGAACCCAGGAATTGGAGGTTGCTGTGAGCTGGAGGGGGACAGCTTGAGGCTCTATCTCAAAAAAAAAAAAAAAAAAAGAATGGCTATTGTTAAAAAGCCAAAAATAAACAGATGCTGGCAAAGATGCAGAGAAAAGGAAACTGTTCCACCATTGGTGAAAATATAAATTAGTATAGCCACTATGCAAAACAAGATGGAGACTTCTAAAAAAAATTAAAAATAGAACTACCATATGATTTGGCAATCCCACTACTGGTTACTTATCAAAAGGAAAATAAATCAGCATATCAGAAGGATGCCTGTACTTCCATGCTTATGGCAACAGTATTCACAACAACCAAGACATGGAATCAATCAAGTGTCCATCAACAGACGTACAGCTTTAAAATATGTGATAAATACACATGATTCCAAAAACATGTATATGCATTTTAAGAAAGGAAAAAACTGTCGCCCTCTGTATATAACATATATACACACATATATATGCTATATGTTATATATAATACATATGTATATCATATACATACCCACACACATGTGCGCATATACAATGGAATATTATTCAGTCTTAAGAAAGAATGAAATCCTGTCATTTGCAGCAACCTGATGAAACTACAGGTCATTATATTAAGTGAAATAAGCCAGCACACAAAGACAAATACCACATTCTCACTTATATGCAGGAGCTAAAAAAGTTGATCTCATAGAAGTAGAGAGCAAAATGATGGTTACCAGAGGCTGGGAAGGGAGTGTGGATGGGTAGGATTGAAGTGAGGTTACTGGGTATAAATACACAGTTAGAAAGAAGGAATAAGTTGTGATGCTCGATAGAGAAGTAGGGTGACTACAGTTAACAGCAATGTCCTATGTATTTAGAAATAGAAGGGAGGACTTGAAATATTCCCAACAGGCTCGGCGCC